GTGCATGGTGGAACTGGACTGTGATGGTTGTAGAGGATTGTGGAACTGGACCTTGGTGGTTGTAGTGCATGGTGGAACTGGACTGTGATGGTTGTAGTGCATGGTGGAACTGGACCTTGGTGGTTGTAGTGCATTGTGGAACTGTACCTTGGTGGTTGTAGAGCATTGTGGAACTGGACTGTGATGGTTGTAGAGGATTGTGGAACTGGACCTTGGTGGTTGTAGTGCATGGTGGAACTGGACCTTGGTGGTTGTAGAGCATTGTGGAACTGGACCTTGGTGGTTGTAGAGCATTGTGGAACTGGACCTTGGTGGTTGTAGAGCATTGTGGAACTGGACTGTGATACAGGGGTCAAGGTGGACAGTGATCTTCGATTTGATAAATAAGAGCAGTGGTTAAATCCAGCTTTTTTCATTTAAGGCAGCTAGCTAAAGTCAAGCCCATTCCTTCTAGAAAGAACTTTGAGGCAGTAATCCATTCCTTCATCACCACTCGGTTGGACTACTGTAATGGACTTTATACAGTGGTCAGTTCTTACTCTGTCACTCACCTTCAGAGGGTCAAAAATGCTGCTGCATGTCTTTTAACTGGTATAAAACAGCATGAGCACATTTCCCTGTGTTAGCCTSACTACACTGGCTGCCTGTTCATTTCAGGATTCATTTTAATGTTCTTTATTTGATTTTAAAGCTTTAAATGGTCTTGCCCCACTCTACCTCACTGAGCTGCTGCACACCTATACCCCCTCCCRTTCTTAGGTCAGCAGACCAGCTGCTCCTGAGAATCCCAAAAACTAAATGTAAGCTTGGAGGAGATGATGTCTTCTCCACTGCTGCTCCTAAACTGTGGAACAAGCTGCCTTTGGGCATCAGACAGGTCACGTCTCTGTCAGCTTTTAAAACTACTTAAAACCATCTGTTCTCTTTGGCTTTTGTCTCCATCTGATATTTTGACTTTTAGTTTTTGAGATTATTTTAATTTGTTTTAATTGGTTTTATGTGTTTGTTTTATTATATAGTTTTAATTTTTGGATTTGGCTTTTATTATGTACTGATTGTTGTGTACAGCACTTTGGTCCTATGGTTGTTTAAGCGCTTTATAAATAAAGTTGGTATGGTATAGTATGGTATAGTATAGTATGGTATGGTATGGTATAGTATGGTATGGTATGGTATAGT